TTCCTTCCTTCAATCTTCCCCAGCATTAGGGTCTTTTCCAGTGAGATAGTTCTTTGCATCAGGTGGCCAAAGTATTGGAGTTTCAGCTTCAGCATCAGTCCATCAAATGAATATTCAGGACTAATTTCCTTTAGGATGGACTGGTTGGATCTCCTTGCAGTCGAAGGAACTCTCAAGAGTTTTCTCCAACACCACAGTTCAAAAACATGATTTCTTAGGCACTCAACTTTCTTTATGGTCCAATTCTCACATCCTTACATGACTACTGGAAAAACCATGGCTTTGACTAGATGGACCTTTTTTGGTAAAGTAATGTCCCTGCTTTTTAAAATGCTTTCTAGGTTGGTCATAGCTTTTCTTCCAAGGAGCAAGAGTATTTTAGTTTCATGGCTGCAGTGATTTTGGAGCCCCCCCAAACAGTCTGTCACTGTTCCCACTGTTTCCCCATCTATTTGCTATGAAATGATGGGACCAGATGCCGTGATCTTAGTTTTCTGAATGTTGAGTTTTAAGCCAAAGTCTTCACACTCCTCTTTCACTTTCATCAAGAGGCTCTTTTGTTCTTTTTTCCTTTCTGCCATAAGGGTGGTGTCATCTGCATAATTCAGGTTATTGATATTTCTCCTGGCAATCTTGATTCCAGCTTGTGTTTCATCCAGCCCAGTATTTCTCATGATGTACTCTGCATAGAAGTTAAAAAAGCAGGGTGACAACATACAGCCTTGACGTACTCCTTTCCCAATTTGGAACCTGTCTGTTGTTTCATGTCCAGTTCTAACTGTTGGTTCTTTCAGATTTCTCAGGAGGCAGGTAAGGTGGTCTGGTATTCCCATCTCTTGAAGAATTTTCCACAGTTTGTTGTGATCCACACAGTCAAAGGCTTTGGTGTAGTCAATAAAGCAGAAGTAGATGTTTTTCTGGAACTCTCTTGCTTTTTCAGTGATCCAGCAAATGCTGCCAATTTGATGTCTGGTTCCTCTGCATTTTCTAAACCCACCAGTTCATGTTTCACATGCTGTTGAAGCCTGGCTTGGAGAATTTTGAGCATTACTTTACTAGCATGTGAGATGAGTGTAATTGTGTGGTAGTTTGAACATGTTTTGCATTGCCCTTCTTTGGGATTGTAATGAAAACTGACCTCTTCATTCTGCTGAGTTTTTCAAATTTACTGTCATGTTGAGTACAGCACTTTCACAGCATCATCTTTCAGGATTTGAAATAGCTCAACTAGAATTCCATCACCTCCACTAGCTTTGTTCGTAGTGCTGCTTCCTAAGGCCCACTTGACTTCTCATTCTAGAGGTCTGGCTCTAGGTGAATGATCACACCATCGTGATTATCTGGGTCATGAAGACCTTTTTTGTATAGTTCTCCTGTGTATTCTTGCCACCTCTTCTTAATATCTTCCACTTCTGTTAGGTCCATACCATTTCTATCCTTTATTGAGCCCATATTTGCATGAAATGTTCCCTTGGTATCTGTGATTTTCTTGAAGAGATCTCTAGTCTTTCCCATTCTACTGTTTTCCTCGATTTCTTTGCATTGATCACTGAGGAATGCTTTCTTACCTCTCCTTGCTATTCTTTAGAACTCTGCCAAATGGGTGTATCTTTCCTTTTCTCCTTTGTCTTTAACTTCTCTTCTTTTCTCAGCTATATGTTGTTTATACAGACTTTATTTGAATAAAGAGAAAAATTCATTGAAACAGACTATGAGCAACTATTATATATTGCAAATTTTAGGTATTGAAAAAATATACATGAATAAAACATGTTTTGCTTACATAAGACATGCTGAATCTGTAGAAATGTTGAAAGCAATTGCTTTCCAATTACCAGTGTCATTTTTGTTGCCATAATTAATTTTAGGTAACATACTGCAGCCATGAAATCAGAAAATGATTGCTTCTTGGCAGGAAAGTGATGACAAACCTAGACAATGTGTTGGAAAACAGAGACATTACTCTGCGGACAAAGGTCCATGTAGTCAAGGCTATGGCCTTCTTAGTGGTCATGTATGGTTGTGAAAGCTGGATCATAAAGGAAGTGGAGTGTCAAAGAATTGATGCCTTGCAACTGTGGTGCTGGAGAAGACTCCTGAGAGTCTCTTGGACAGCAAGGAGATCAAACCAGTGAATCTTAAGGGAAATCAACCCTTAATACTCATTGAAAGGACTGACGCTGAAGCTCCAGTATTTTGGTCACCTGATGTGAACAGCTGACTCATTGGAAAAGTCACTGATGCTGGGAAAGATTGAGTGCAGAAGGAGAAGAGGACATCAGAGGATGAGATGACTGGATAGGATGCAATGAACGTGAACTTAGGTACACTTTGGGAGATGGTGAGGGACTGGGAGGCCTGGTGCTGCAGTCCATGGGGTTACAAAGAGTTGGACATGACTTGGTGACTGAACAGCAATAACAGTGATTGCATGCTTATTATTAGCATGGCTCTATGTTGAGTACATTTACTGGAATATCTGAAAAACATGATTTTGATAAGTTCATAAGTCAATCCCACTTGGCCGTCATAAGACTACCTTACAATCTTACTATCTCTACGATGTTCATATATTGGCCTGCTTTCCAAAATGCCTCAATCCTTCCTGTTCTTCCTCAAACAAAAACTCTCCTTGATTTTAAATACAGTGAGAAAATAGAAGCAGTCAGAAGAGAACTTACTTGTATCACACAATCAGACAATGAACTGGCAAGGCTCACAGGAAAGATCAACCTCTCCTCTTTTAAACTACTTTCTGTGCTCTCTCGTCACTCTCAAAGGATATTCCTCTAGAAGAAACTTTCTTTATTTTTGGCTATCATCAATTTATTGTATGTATACAGTTATTTCATAAACACCTCTGTAAAATCTCCCAACAACAAAAAAACACATTGATATCATATGTCCTTCTATCTTCTATTCTGTATCTCTGATATCATCTGAAAAAAGACAAACTGCATCTATACTCTAATATACTCATCTTGTCCTCTTATTGTCCCTATATTTTACCATGAAACTTCTCTGAGCACAAATTCATTGAAATTGCTCTCATTAAGTTTGAAAGTCGTCTCCATATTTCCAAATTCAATGGTAAACCCTTTGTTTTTGTACTTCAGCAAGAATCTGTGCTTGTTGCATTTGAATACATTCTCCATCTTTGAATGATTTCTTCATCTGTATCTAAAATGTTACTTCTTAGTCTCTATTTTTGTCTCACTAGCTTCCCTGTGAGCACAGGTGCTTTATGTCTCAGTCTCAAACCTCTACTTCTGCCTAAGAGATTCCAACTCATTTTAAGTCTATAAATATTTTTTTTTTCTACTCTGAAGACTACCAGAGGTAAACCTTCAGTTCAAAACTCTAATGTGAACCTCAAGTACTTCACATATCTAGTAGGCATTTCAACAGTCTCAGGAGCTGAATTCTTGATTTCTCCTATTGAAACTTGCCATGCTAGAAGTTTACAAGACTCAGTAAACAGAAATATTTCCTTTTTACTTGAGACCAAACTATTGAGTTATCTTTTATTCCACACCATTTCCTAACAGTAATTCTTTCCAGAAGCTTAATTATATTGTGTCACTATCCTATTCAATCCCACTTTGTTGTTCATTTAAAGTCTCCTAAGTTGTCTTCATGTATCCAACCTAGTTCCCTGCTCTATTCTCCAAAATATAGACATAGTGATCCTTGTAAAAATGTACATCTTACCAAGTTAAACTTTTACAGAAAATTCTTTAAGAGCACTTTATCTCACTGTGAACAAAACTAAAAATGCTTTCAAAGCCTTTTATTGAATCACCCAGATGTGGGCTACATAAATTTTCTTCCCATATACTTCAGTTTTCCTGGAATTCTGATGTTAACATGAAAGGAAGCATGGCAGAATTCTTTGATGTTAAAGAGTAGAGTGTACTCAATTTGAGAAGCTATGTAGTGCTCAGACATTTTATAAATTCACACTAAGTTCACCTCAGCTCATCCACTGTTAATTATGATCTTCTACTTGAAAGTCATTGTTTTTAGCACAAGTGCTACAAAAATGATCATAGAGTTTCTAATTCACTGGGGCAAATCCAATGATTAAAGACTGGACTAAAATTGTGCTTTGTCTTCTTAGTCATTTGGAACCACTAATTTTATATTGATTGAAAAATAATCACAGCATTTTTGACACCAAAATTTTGTAGCTTTAAAAAAATTAATTAATGTGTTTTAATTGGAGGCTAATTACTTTGCAATATTATGGTGGTTTTTGCCATACATTGATATGAATCAGCCATGGGTGTACATGTGGTCCCCATCCTGAACCCCCCTCCCACTTCCTTCCCTAAATCATCCCTCAGGGTCATCCCAGTGCACCAGCCCTGAGCACCTGGATTCTCATGCATCAAACCTGGACCGGCAGTCTATTTAATTTTGTAGCTTTGGAAAGTTTTTTAGTTGCTTGACCACATGCTCAGTCATTCAGTTTTGTCCAGCTCTTTATGACACCATGGACCACAGCCCACCAGGCTCCTCTGTCCATGGGATTCTCCTGGCAAAAATACTGGAGTGGGTTGCCATTTCTGTCTCCAGGGCATCTTCCCAACTCAGGAATCAAACCTGCATCTCTTGCATTCCTTGCATTATCAAGTGGATTCTTTATCATTGAGCCAACTGGGAATCCCACTTGACCATGAGACAAGTGTGAAGGGAACTAGTAAGTATTGTTTTGAACTTTAATATCTGCTCTTTTTTCCCCCCCGCTAGAGTTAAGAACTAAGATCAGAGGAATTCTTTAACTTACTGCATTGTTTTTGATAGTTTCATAAAAAAGGTTCTGTATAACTAATAAAATATTTTGGTTTCTTTTTTCTGGGAGGAAAAAATCAGCCACAGTAAATCCTTTTAATTGCCAACAATAAAAAAAATCATTCAGAACTGGCCAGATAGTCTCTTGTCAAACAGAACACATTGCTGATGCTATTAGGGAAAACTGTTCCCAGATTATTGAATCTCTAAGCAACATTTGTGGATGCTTTCTGTACAGATAAGCATTGTATGAATATCTTTTTAAATGCCCCCATGACATCCTTGTTTCTGAGGCTGTAGATGAGAGGATTGAGCATGGGTGTGACAATGGTATAGAAGGCTGATACTACCTTGTCCTGCTCAGGGGTGTGAAATGACTGGGGCAATACATAATTGTAGAAGGCTGCCCCATAGAAAATACTAACTATAGTTAAGTGGGATGAACAAGTTGTAAAGGCCTTTTTCTTGCCCTCGACAGAACGCATACGGTAGACAGTGAGTAAAATTTGAGAATAGGATGTTGAGATAATAGATAAGGGGATGAGCAACATAAGCACACAGCAGATGTACATCAAGGTTTCATACTGGGATGTGTCAGCACAGGCCAATCTGAGAATTGCTGGAATCTCACAGAAGAAATGTTCGATGCTGTGGGAGTGGCAGTAGGGAAAATTCATGGTGATAGGGGTGAGCAGAAAGCCATCCAGGGATCCACCAAACCAGGCACCAGCTGCCAGAAGAAGGCACACTCTGCGATTCATGAGGACCGGGTACCTGAGAGGGTTGCAGACAGCCACATAGCGGTCATAAGCCATGAGGCCCAACAGGAACAACTCTGATCCAATCATGGTCACATAGAGGAAGATCTGAATGCCACAGGCCACGAAAGAAATGGTCTTCTCTTTAGAAACCATGTCGACCAGGAGTTTTGGGACAGTGGTACAAATGAAAAGGGTGTCCATGATGGACAGTTGGCTGAGGAGAAAGTACATGGGTGTATGGAGGCGACGGTCCACGTGAATCAAGAATATCATGACCAAATTTGCAGTTACAGCGACCACAAAAATAACCAAAATAACTGCAAAGACAATCCCTATAGTTTTACTGTTTAGCAAAAGCCCCAGGAGAACAAAGTCAGAGAAAGAAGTTCTATTCTTCATTGATATTTCCTACAACAGCTCCAAGGGAAAGGAAGCCATGAATACCAGGGGAAAGACGGAGAGGAAAACACTTCTTGTAAGTGAGAAATTCACAATGGCGATGACACCTCAGAGATTACTGGTTCAGGTAAAATTTTCCAAATTATAATGCTAGAGAAAAAAAAAGACCAAGAGACACATGATAAATCAATAACCCTAGATCTATTCTTTTTCTTTTTGGTGAACAACACTTTTTATATTGTATTCATGTTTATGTTGCAATACATAGGTTTTGCTATTTGATAATTGCATAATAAATTGGCATTTGTTCTATCTGGATTAGAGTTTTAATTTACCTATCTTATTTATTCTGAATTTTTGGCCCTCAGAATCTTGTTTTTTGTCTCACAGTAGGGCTAAGTAAATACCGGTTGGAGGATAGAATGATTGATTCATCGATTATTGTTTGGGTGTCTAAAGGTGAGTAAAATGAATAATTTAGGATGTGAAGGGTATAAAGAAAACAATAGCAACAACAACAAAAACCCCTTCATGTCTTTTCTACTCTCAATACTTTCATTTCTGACATTTCTGGTTACCAAATTTGCATGATTTTCTCCCCTTACCAAACAATTTCCAATTCTACAGATATTAGTTTGGTGTCTTACAACTTAATTCAATTCTCACACTATCTACCTGTGTAACAGTCTAATACCCTACATGTTAAGTGTTCAGTCCCATAAGACTGACCCCACCTCAAATGCCATTCACATAGTACAGGTCACTTTCAGTGTTTCTTAACTACTGGCTATCTATTGGAGTTTCCCATGATCCCTTCCATGAAATCAATTACATTTTCTAGAGTGTTTCATAGAGCTCAGGAAAACCTTTTACTTACAAAATTGTTGAGTAACTAACTCAGGAACAATCCACGTGGAAGAGATATATGAGGCAAAATATGTATTAAGAAGACTCCATTAGTCATTGGTGATTAAACATACCCAACACCTATCTCCCTTGGAAATGTAAGAGGTAGAAATTTATTTATTTATTTTTTTCATTTATTTTTATTAGTTGGAGGCTAATTACTTTACAATATTGTAGTGGTTTTTGCCATACATTGACATGAATCAGCCATGGATTTACATGTGTTCCCCATCCCAATCCCCCCTCCCACCTCTCTCTTAACCTCATCCCTCTGGGTCTTCCCAGCGCACCAGCCCTGAACACTTGTCTCATGCATCCAATCTGGGCTGGTGGTCTGTTTCACCCTTGATAGTATACTTGTTTCAATGCTATTCTCTCAGAACACCCTACCCTCACCTTCTCCCACAGAGTCCAAAAGTCTGTTCTGTACATCTGTGTCTCTTTTTCTGTTTTGCATATCTCCGACATAAATCACAGCAGGATCCTCTATGACCCACCTCCCAGAATATTGGAAATAAAAGCAAAAATACACAAATGGGACCTAATGAAACTTAAAAGCTTTTGCACAACAAAGGAAACTATAAGCAAGGTGAAAAGACAGCCCTCAGATTGGGAGAAAATAATAGCAAACGAAGCAACAGACAAAGGATTAATCTCAAAAATATACAAGCAGCTCCTGCAGCTCAATTCCAGAAAAATAAATGACCCAATCAAAAAATGGGCCAAAGAACTAAACAGACATTTCTCCAAAGAAGACATACAGATGGCTAACAAACACATGAAAAGATGCTCAACATCACTCATTATCAGAGAAATGCAAATCAAAACCACAATGAGGTACCATTACACGCCAGTCAGGATGGCTGCTATCCAAAAGTCTACAAGCAATAAATGCTGGAGAGGGTGTGGAGGAAAGGGAACCCTCTTACACTGTTGGTGGGAATGTAAACTAGTACAGCTACTATGGAGAACAGTGTGGAGATTCCTTAAAAAACTGGAAATAGAATTGCCATATGACCAATCCCACTCCTGGGCATACACACCGAGGAAACTAGACCTGAAAGAGACACGTGTACCCCAATGTTCATCGAAGCACTGTTTATAATTGCCAGGACATGGAAGCAACCGAGATGCCCATCAGCAGACGAATGGATAAGGAAGCTGTGGTACATATACACAACGGAATATTACTCAGCCATGAAAAAGAATTCATTTGAACCAGTTCTAATGAGATGGATGAAACTGGAGCCCATTATACAGAGTAAAGTAAGCCAGAAAGATAAAGACCAATATAGTATACTAATGCATATATATGTAACTTAAAAAGATCGTAACGATAACCCAATATGCAAAAAAAGAGGTAGAAATTTAAAAGTTTAAAACCTCTAATGGCATTCTTACCTCTTACTTTCATGGTAACTGGCCCCCATCTTGGGTTTTGCATAAGTAAACTTATTCACCATAATTTCAGATTTGGCTGGAAGGGATTACTTATAAGTAACCAAAGACATCTGCAAGGCTGTTTTCATTTAGGAAATTCTGGCTATATTAAGATCTCTGTGACAAGAACAGGGACAAAGACCAAATATATACTTCTTATTATACATCACAATAACACAAAGTGTTAAAAAATCTATTAGGGCATCACAAATAAAAAAGTTTATGCTATCTTATTTTCCAAGGTTTTTTAGGTAAGCTCTCCCACCATCTACTTACTCTTTCTTCCATTCTTTCAGTCTGATCTCAGCAAAGCAAAGTGATCCTGAGAAACAAATATATAAAAAATAATTAAAATCTTAGAGCAATACAAATTTTACATCTTAATCATTGAGCATTAATGCATACAAATTTGAGATAATCATTCTCTGTGCCATAAAATCAATATTTTTTTAGAAAGGGGAACTCACCTCTTTATCTCTCCTCTGAATAAGATTAGTTGTCACAGTTATTCATTCATTGTCTCAAATATTGTGTAAGAGTTAACTATAGCTTCAGATGCTATTATACATGCAAAAATTTTATTGTAGATGTTAATAATACAGTTTGAACTCATCTTAAGTTCTACTGGTAAAAACCACAGAAAATCATTATGAATGATTTTTCTTAGCAGCAAATTTCCATGTATTATCAGAAAAACTGCATATTAAAAACGTACTATTGATTCCATATTTTATTAAATTAATGTCTGTAGTAGATTTCCATGAATATTAAATACAACCAATTGTGAAAGGCAGAATAATGTTCCCACCCCAACTCAACAATCCCTCTGTCCTAATCCTCAGCCCAGAAGTATGTTCCCCTACTTGGCAAAAGAGACTTTTCAACTGTGATTAAGTTAGGGATGGCCACAAAAGGAAATTATTCTGGAGTGTCCCATTGTGCTTAATCTATATACAAAGGTTCTTACAAGGGAGAAGTAGGAAAGAGAGAGGCAGGAATCGGAGGATGAGATGTAACATTATGAGCAGAATTGAACATGAAGTGATTCAAATGCTGGCTTTGGGTGACAGGGACCATGAAACAAGGAATTGACTGATCTCTAGAATTTGAAAAATCCTAGGAAATGGAATCTCCCCAAACACTTTTCAGAAAGAAGCATAGGTCTCCTGACATCTTAACTTTAGCCCAGTTTTTTACTTGTGGCCTCCAGAACTCTAAGATGATAAATTTGTATCATTTTAAGTCACTTAATTTGGTATATTTGAATAGTAGCAATAAGAAACTAATATACTTAACATTTTTTTTATCAGATTTTGAACATAAGTATAATTAAAGCATGTTGTTAATAATAAAATAGTGAGCACCTATGCAGTACTTACTCTATGCCAGGAATCTTTCTACATGCTCTAACGTTTTGATGCAATCTCTTCATAGTACCTCTATGGGATAAATTACCATAATTATCATCATTGTAGGGTTGGAGAAACTGAAGCAGAGAGGACAAGTAGTGAAGCTGTGTCCTGGCTCAAAGCCAGAACTTTCTCTTCTGTACATTCCACAGCTATACTCCACTGGCCCCTTTTAAGTATTAGGTAAGTTTACAACCAGCTTAAAAACAAGGTGGAGAGAATATAAGCTGCAAACTCAAGAAAAACTTGAAGTTCTTGTTAAAAGTTGTCAACAAAGTTACAAAGTAACTAAATGAAACTAATCATTTTTAGAAATTCATAATACTTTAATTCCTGGACAATCTCTAGTCATCTCATACCTACATGCAGACGCCTGGCTTCATATTGAGGTCATCATCAACAACGACAAAATTTCTCACAAAATGTATCCTTAGAAAGATCCTGCGAAAACCAGACTTACAAATCTAACTATATAGCATCCACTGCTGAAGGCAACTTTATCTCTAAACAGACATAATAATGTCCTATCCAAAAGTCTTGCCATCAGACGTTCACTAGTATAACTACCATTACATGTACATTCCTGTAAAGATGGTACCATATTTCCTTTTAGATCCACAATTGAAATAAGTCCTCTGTGATGTGTCAGAAGGACGTGGTAGAGCATGGAGTTGAGTAAAGAATAAACAACAAAGCCATTTCAAAATATTGCATGGAGGTGTGAACCCATTTTAAATCCTTATGAAATAAAATGAAATGTCCCTGGAACCATCCTGCCAAGAGTATACAGATGTAAAATCATAAATTAAATTATCAAGCATTTAAAAATATAATTCTCTTCTAGTATATTTGCCTAGGTACAGATGCTCCCAAATAGGAATGGGATATCATTTTTTTTTGAACATCATTTTTAAAAAGACTCAGTCAAATGGTAATTCTATAAACAGATCTCAATATAAAATAATATGTCTAAATATTTTGTTGAAGCATAATATATCATTGTCTTAAACCAACACCTCCCTAGAGGTGGTGGTACATTGATAGCTACCCCACTGTGAATCTAGGACAAGTGGCTACATGGGACAAGAAGTTTTCAATACAACTTCCCTGCTGGAGCTGGCTCAGATTTAGTTATTAAATAATAACATTTGAAAACTAAAGGTGTTCTCAGCTTTCTCCTCCAACAAGGTGGTCCCTTCTGCATTTTTCTGAATGATTTCATAAAAAAAAATGACTCTTACCACT